TTATCGTGTTTTTCGTGTTTTTGTTATATTTTCATATCAAAATGTTATTACCCCTTTCATGTAATGCATTTCTCACAAAAAGATAATAATGCATCAGAAGAATGTTGTGGAAAAACATGTCAGGATACCTAATAACTTCTGAGAACAAAACAGCACATACTGCAGTGGCATCTTGAGGTGTCAGTACATAAGATTCAACTTTGTCATGGTTCCCCATGATATAGTTCCAAATTGTCTCAGAAAAGTTTTTAGCATTTCTTTTCGATAGTTTCAGTGTTGCATAAGAAAGATTTTTGTAATGAAGATGAAGATTTTTCTCATCTTTTTTGACTGGACAACAGTACAGATCACTTCCTTGCAACCGTACTGAGAATCTACCAACTAAAAGGGTGACATCCTGCTTTTCCTGATTCCTCCAAAATTTTTGAACAATGTCAATTACATTGGCATATTGGACAAAATTGCTTATTCTGATTGGTACACTGATGTCATTGTTTAAGTCTTCGATGCTCCCATAAGCAATGTTTTTAATTTGTTCAACAGCACAATCTTCCCAGGATGTACGCACTCCAAATGGCTGATCAGGCATTTTTGCAGTGGAGTGTTCATCTTCTGAATTTTGAGTAAATGTTTCATTCAAAAACCTCTTCTCTCTCATTTGCTCTGGCTTGAATGACAGGATGATATGTGGCTTGTTTTCGTTCCCCTCACAATTGGACTGCTAGAAAATTCAAAGACAAAATTGAGCTGCATAATAACTATTGATGTTGACAGTTAAACAATAATTGTACAACAGATTTAACTTACGGTGTTCCCTCTGTCCTCCAAACCTGAGCCGATCTCAGACCCTTTGTAGTCCTCAGGCTGACTGTAGTCACTAAAATGTAAATGAACACTAGTTAGGTTGTGTAGTACTAGTAGCCTATAAAATCCAACATGAGAATGGTCTTGATCAACACTGATGTTATGTATTAAATAACAATCAATAAGTTTTTTTTATGATCAGTAAATTTCTCAAATTGTATTTTTATCGTTTGATATGTGGTTTTGGGAGTCAAAGGCAAGTGAGTGTTGACTGGAAATAAAGTTGTTGAGAAACTCTTTGATTTAGACCTTTTTCTTTTTCTTTTTCTTTTGTCATTCTCCACAATAAAAGTTTAATCTTCAGGTGGGCAGTTAGGTCGCCTGATTGAAAAAAAAAAAAAGTTTAGTAGAAGCAGACAACAATGAATATCATATCAGTTACAGCATGTATCCGCTACATTTACAGTATAATGAACATACAAACGTGGAATGAAACAACTACCTTTATGTACTTGGCAAATGCATTACAGTAAAGCTAAATTGAGGTACAATAATGTATGAATTTATTGTGCTTGAAATAAAAACTACATAAGTCATTCCTTAGGAGACACAGTTCATTTTCTTCAAAACAGGAGAAGTATCCCAAATATTTTTGGATGGAAGCTTTTGGATACATGTAATCATCTGAGCACCGTTGCCAAGCTGGTTAAAAAACATCCCTTTGAGACAAATCCTGAAGAAAATGCTATGTGCTGTGACCATTTTTAGGCATTTGCATCAAAATGAAGGTTTCTTTGGGTTAGTTCTAACAGACCAGGTCTGTTAGTGATCCTTTCACTGACAACAATTCTTGATCTGTTAACGTAAGAAAACTTCCCTCCAAAAAATCTTGAAAGCATCTTCTGTGATTTCTTCCTCCATTCTACCAGCTTCTTTTGCATTATTGTACTTGAGGACATGACACTGATATATCGACTCACGTTCCATATCACACAACACATTGTATAATATTAAGCATCATAGTGGAGGTCAAAGTGCTTGCAGGTGTCCCATCTTATTCTTGATTTAAGGCTTTATCAGAAAGCAATCGTCTAGTCCTTCTCACTTGGAATTCTTCATCTACTGCATCAGAAACCATCTGACAATTTGGGATGAGGAGGATGCGTCCCAATATAAAGCATACTCAGGGGTATTTACTGGCGCAATATAGCTTGCAAGTTGCTAGAAGTTCTCCAATATTCATGATTTCTGCAAAGGTTCCCACTCCACATGAAATAATGAATAATGGCCTTATTTCAGAGATCTAACCATGAGTCCATCTTCATCCACCCATTGCAAATCCATTGCAGCATGGGCTACTGACATGTTAACATACAGGAGTACTGTCCTTTTAGTGTTGTACACTTACTTTATCGCAATCTTTTTCCTGCGTGTAGACATGTCTTTGGACCGCTTTTTCCGGTTGCACTGCGTAACTGCTGCTTCCACTGAAGTCCAATTCAAGTCCAATTCCAGTCCACAGAGAAAATGCATTGTGAAAAAGCTTTTTTTTTTTTTTTTTTAAATAATGTACTCTGGTCAGTTTGTTGTAGCTTTTTATTGATTTGTTGTTTAAAAGGTGGTTCCATTTGAATTATTGGCCACAAAGACAGAAGTATACAGCTTGAACAGAGTACCTTCAGAAAACTTTCACTCTTTTCATATCGATACATCCAGTGCTTGAAGTGAAAAGAGACCCAATGTGTCCGCGCTTGTGCGAGAGAGACTCAGCATGTCCACATCCACGCGCCAGACAGTGAACCTGCAGTTCTCAAACAGGACAGAAGAGAGTTCTGAGCTGCTGGTACAATAGAAAAATGTCCGGTACTGTGAACAGCATAGCATAGAATTGCTGGTACTGCATACCGTTGAGTACCATCCCACTTCAAGCACTGTACATCTAATATGGTTTGATAAGTATTCTCAAACCCTTTGATGAAAGTTGGTGAAGACCATCAGCATATTACTCAATTAACTTAGCAATTCTTCCTCAGCAAACTGTTGAGGATCTGCGTGCATCATCATCATTGGTCCTGATGCTTGCAGGTTAAGTCAGTGCTCATTGGCTTTGCCGTAATGTCATGAAAAAAGGCCAGTGCTCATCACAAGATCCTAAGAAGGTATCCTGAGAAAGTTCCTCCAAGACAAGAGAGCGGAAAGATTGCTTAGAATGCTTTTTTTTTTTTTCTTTTTTTCTTCGTACATTTCTGTAGACAGACATCCATGGACATAAAGCTGTCAGTGACCTCCAAGAAAGTTCTCCAGTCACTGCAGCCTCAGTTGTCAAGTTTGGAGGGAGTTTTCAGTTGAACACAGGAGCCTTGACTTTGTTCCAGGGATTTTGTCAGGTTCAGCTGGAGGTGTGGGTTGAATACTTATCAAGCCATTTCAGTTTGTGTTTTATTACATTTTTTTCTTTACTAGATCTTTATTCCAATTTTAAATAATACTTAGTTATTTACAATTCAATCATATATTGTAATAATTTTTGTAAGAATGATGGCTCTCTGTAGGTACTTTTTCATTATGTACATCTGGTCGTCAAAATCTTAGTATGCTTTTCTAAAAACACTTATTCACATGACTACATAAATATCCAGTTTCACATTTACCAGTCAGAAATACATAATCTCCATTCAAACATAATTCTTTAAAAAAAGAACCAAAACTCTCTAGAAAATGCCTGGTTTATTCCATTAACCCATTGGTAATGCTGTCATTTTGGGCAACTCAAATGTATCAATTATGGATTAATCTGTTTTTATGATTCTGGCATCCACAGCTGCCATTTTTATTCTATAAAAACAACTGAATTTTTTACAGTGTATTTATAAATTAATTTGTGGATATTACTTTCCTATATTTCTCGAATTCTAGTCTTACATCACATTTTTGTGTCTTTAATATTATACCCATCTTGGGATCTAAAGTTTTATGAATTGGAAATTCAACCCACCATTTCTAGAGAGCAATTGTGGAACCACCCTTGAACCTTTTTACAAAACATATATTACAAAAATAACATTTAAACCATTGACAAGATGAAACAAACCAGCTGATTTGCTCTGTGTGCTTCTGGATGAAAAGCGATGGCACATCTCATCCAGCTGTGATTTTTCTGATAACAAAAAAAACATTATACAAGTGTTTTGTTTTTGTGCTGTACCCGAAGAATGCTAATGTCTTGCTTAGATAATGTAACTTTTGTTAACCTGCCTATCACTGCGTGAATCTTTTTTGTTACCTAATGGTGTTACTGTTTCAGTGGCGGTCCTGCTCTCCTTGCTTCTCTCTTCAACTTTGATGGCCGCCCTTGTTTTTCTTTGTCCCTGTAATTCCAGCACATGATTGAGTCAAAATGGCATGATATTAAATGCCAAATGCAAAGAACAGAATAAGCAAAATAATAATAATAATAATAATAAATAAAACTCTTCTACTTCGACAAAGCATATTTACAATTTCTACATTAAAATCCATAACTAACAGTTTTAATATAAAATGTTTTAAAAGATTTCAATTACTGTTACTATTTTTATTGTTTAATTTTGATGGTTCTCTGGTGTATGTTTAAATATTTACACCCAGTTTGTTAAACTGCAAACCACAATGCACATATCTGACTGAAGGACTATTAAGACTCTCAGTGTTCAAAATGGGTTATTTATTGTTTTTATTTAGTATAATTAAAACTAAACAAACTGAAACTGAAACAAAAATGCATTATAACATCATTATACAAATAATTGCCACTACACAAAACATTGAACAGGTCATTAGCATGCTATATAAAAATAATAATAATACAAAATATTGTTTAAAATAGTACCATGTTTTCAGCCATGTCTGAAGACCGTCCTTTATTGTATCTGTGAAAAGATGTCAGATTGTTTCAGAACATCATCTACAATTGTGACCTGTGCTGGCAAAATGAGTCGGATACGCACTAATTTTGAGCTACAGGCAAAAGAAGTGAAAAATGTCAGTTTTCGTCGAATTTGTGGTTTTTACAAAAATGAGTTCATTAAGTCCTCTTTTAGCAATCCCCATGCTCCAAATAGTACTTAAAGATATAAAATGACCTTTATTTGTACGTTTTCTGAGAAGAGTACCTTTCTCTCTGCTTCACTTCTGTATAATATTGTTATACCTATGCATCATGATATGTCTGGTAGAATCTGAACATATGATATAATTGAAGACATACAATCATATTCTTCTTGATCGCACAATATAAATATATGTTCCACTTGCAGCTGCCATGCTTGATTACTGGATTAAACTTGGCCCAAAGATTTTGTACACAACATCAGAACACTTATAAAAGGTTTAGAGATGGTTTATATCTCTGTTTTTTTTTTTTTTAAACAAAAGGTGATTTGCTGATCACATGAAAAGTGTGTCAAACCCCTCTAAAATAAGACCTGCCCGACGGGGAGAAAACCTGCAAAACTGCTTAGTCTGGGGGTTTTTTTAGCCTGGAATTTATATCATATCCTGCATGTCACTGTCATATGTAAAAACTGATTCCTAATAAATAAAGAACAACATTTTTTTAAAGAAAAAATAATTTCCCATTTCAAAGCGCAGACAAAATCGTTATAGGGGTCATTGAATTCGATTTACCAAAATTAATTGTTCAAAACTTTTCACAATACTTTGGTATGCCCATTATAATGAATAAAAATTATTGTTGCATTTTAATCTTTTTTAGCATAAAATAATGTCTTGTATCTATCTTACACCAAGCATTTTGTCATGTCCTTGAGGCACTTTACTGAGTTTGTACAGAATGTGCATAGTGTCTGTGATTTTTGGCAATAATGTAAGCATTTATTTGTGTTCCTTTCTTGTAAAGAATATTTTTCAAAAAAACTGCAAGATATTTTATTAAAAAAACAGACTTTAAAGTTATGTCCCTCAGTCTAAACTTAACCCTGTCACACTAACCATTCTACGCCCATAATAATTTAGACTGCTCATATGTGACATTATTTACCAGAAATGACATCATTCAGGTCTCTTTAATAGTGGTGCAGAAAATGGTTAGTAGTATCATACTTTTTATTCGTATTTTTGAGGCATATTATAGTCAGGGAGGGTACTGTTAAGCTTAACAACTCAACCCCATCACATAAAAATAAGATGGAAAATTATTATTTTTCAACATTTTATTTTAATTTATATGTATATACAATGTACTTGTTTTACTGCTGCCATATATGGTCTAGCAGTGGCCATTCTGAGTGAAAAACCTCAACCCCGTCACAAATATATGTATTTCTCATTGTTGTGGGGTTAAATAACTTTATTATTTATATATTTATAACTATTTAACTATTTATAGAGTTATTTACTTTATTTATTAATAATTTGAATGAAAAAAATAATAAAATAGTCATGGTTTCAGCAAATATATACTTACCAAAAACATGACAACTCATATTTTTGTTTTAAATAGATTTTTTGATGTAATATGTCCACTTAAACTTTGAGAGAGAAACAAAACCAAAAATTAAAATTGAAGGCAATATAACCCTTCCAATGTGTTACAGACTTCAACCCTGTCACACCTTGTCACATTAACATTTTTGGAAAAATATAGGGAACTGCAAACCACAAGCAAATTATTTAATAATGCTTTGTCTGGAAATTACTGCTTTTTTTATTATGTGGTCAAAACACTCACATGCAATAGCAAGGGGGCGTTGATACTGTTTCCAATGCAATGACGTTAGCCAATCATAACAGTGGCCAATTCCTGACAAGCCTTATTAAAGGACCCGCCCCTTAAAACAGGTCGATTTAGACAGAGGGTCAGAATGAGGGTAGAAAATAAAGCAATAAGCCCCAAGAAGCCGTTGTTTACAGTGAAGAGGACAGAAACTTGACCAAATAAGGAAACATAGGAAGGACTACGGGGGCAAAACAGATCCAAAAATCTGACATTAGCAAGGTTTCACAAAATAAAACAAAGCAAATAAAATGTAATGATATTAATAAAAACATTATTCTTCCGCCAAACAATGTAGTTCCTCAGAAACGGTTGTGGTTGCAACAAAGGGGTTGCCAAGCAACACAGACGTAAACAAAGGTTTATGTTTGTAGAGTAATTTACAACAGCTTCGAATGCGGCTCAACCAATCAGAATCAAGGACCGGAACTATCCATTTTATAATAATAATTTTTCCGCATATTTATGTTTTTTGTCCAAAACAACTTTATTAACATTATAAGTAAACCTCAAGAAACAGATTTTTAAAAATCCATGTCATGACCACTTTAAATACTACTCTTATCATAAAAGTTGCTAGGCAATTCAATCAAAAGTACAAAGGCAGCACTCTGATATACAGAAATTAAATTTAAATAAAATATAACGTGATGAGATTTTGCCCTCATCCAAAACTTTTTTGCTCTGGAACAAATATCAGTTTAATGAGACCAAAGACTGCCCGTTAGATTTACCCAAAGCAAATTATATCTCATATTTAACCACTATAGAGTCATAAGAGCCAACGGCAAATTCCGAGGTGTAGTAGAATATCACACTCCTCTCAGCCAGATCAGATTCGAGAACCAGAAAAAACTGCTGTGTGTCTATATATATATATATATATAATTACAATTATTTTGTCGCTCAGTTTCCAGTCCACCATTACATTGGTGCTTGCCCTTTAAAATCTTAAGCATATGCCCTAAATCACATGACTTGTCATGACATGTCATCAAAGCAAATATCAGTCCTATAATTTTTCTCTTCCTCATTTACTGAAGACTAATTTAATAGTGTAAAATGTAACATGTCCACCCTGTCAATTTATATACTTGAAACATCTATTATATATCTATTAAAATTATTCCTAAATCTTCTGCTAATTAAAAAACAAACAAACCTGCTCAATCCAAAATCCACCAAACTATAAGAATGACCTAGAAATCACTTTCAGAAACACTTTCACAGTACTTATTTTGTCAAAAAAGTCTAATGGTGAAGTTCCTTGACTTCCTGTATATTCCCTCAAGAGATAAGAGTTACATATAACTGAATGTTAATCCATTACATTTCTGTTGGCACATCTATTTTACAATGCTCTCCTACCTTAAAACACATTTCTTTAAAAAATATATTTTAAATACAAATAATATTCAGGTGATAAAGCCAATAGTTTTGTACGACCTACCTGTTCATCGAGTGAATTGTAATGAGAGAGTGTGATTATAGGAAACCCCGCCTTACTGTCTTACTGTCACAGTTCTTTTGAATAGGTTGTTTGCAATCACGTGATTCTGATGAAGCGCGAAATGCAGCTGGAGGGCAGGAAGTGATATTTTTGATATATTATTATATCTTATATTAACCATTTGCACACACGAGCATTATCCGGCTCCGCTCCTCCCGACCGCAGACGCAGGTTTACAAGCCACTTTTTCCTGCGTTTTTCAATCAATTTCTTGACTTCCCCCCCCTTATGAACAACACATTTTCGTACACGATAAAAGCTCCTTGTGGTTTCTCGGTTTGGCCAATTTGAGCATCCATAAACAATGCAAAATACAGGCATTTTGAGTTTCTGCTAGTGATTTCTATGGTGAAAAATCCCTTCCTGCCCTCCAGCTGCATTTCGCACGTCATGTGCAAACAACCTATAGCCTACTGAAAAATGAGGTTTCGTCTTCATACATTTGCATTTACGCAACAAAAAAATGCCCAGAATTAACATTACATTCATGAAAAATTCACTCTTACAAACATAATATGTTTTCCAGCAAACGTGGGCAGTGACTGAATCATTGTCTACCACCAATAAGACATATTTTCCCAGATAATTCTTGAGTACACACAAGAAAAGAAAAGATGATCAGTTGTCTCTGTGTTACTGTACAATTTCATTGCCTAGAAGTGTACTGCATAATCAATCATGCATTTTATATCACATCCTGACTTGTTGCCGGGATTCATGACAAAACTGATGAGACTTGCAAGGTATATACTCAAAACGGGATTTCTCAAAAGTATGCTTGAATATCATGTAATGCTTAAGTTTCCTTTTCTTGAGAAATGAAACTTAAGGATCTCCTTCTTTGAGCAAAAGAATGAGAACACGCCCTACTGTAGAAACTATGGAAGCCCTAACAGACTATGTGTTTTTTTCTCTATGATAAAAGCTGTAAGCACAGTACATCTGACATTAAAAGAGCAACTGATAACCACAGTTTACACAGACTTAAGTGTATGCAGCCTTTAGACTCTTCTTTAATGATCGCACAGTATTTTGTATGTAGAGGCCATATATTTGCTGATAAAATGTCTAACCAATAAGACTGATAATTGTCACGAACTGCTACTGTGCTAGAGCGAGAGGCAACGAGAACGAGAAGTTCTCAATAACAGTCTTTAACAACACGGGTAACACAGGGCAGACAGGAACACACGTAGCATGGAGGACTATTCATAGACCTGAAGACATTCAATACCAGACAGGGAACACAGGCAAACACAGGGCTTCAGAAACTAAACGAGCTAAACGAGGTAATTAAGGGGACACCGCTGAATCAAATGGGACACAATGGGAACAGGAACAGGAACAGGAACTACCAAATTAGGGCATGAAACATGGGAAAACTAGGTCAAGGGAAGCACAACACAACACAGACAGTCCATCTTCCTGACAATAATACAGACTGTTTAATTTTATTTCCTAGTGTTATTGCAGTCTTGTTTTTGTTATTTTTTCATATCAAAATGTTATTACCCCTTTCATGTAATGCATTTGAATGACCACTCACAAAAAGGGTAAGCGTGATTTCACCAAGTACAACATGTTCCTGGATCAACACTGGGGATGGGCGGATCGATCCTTAAGTATCGATACTTTCGATACTGATGTTGTATCGAAAGTATCGATCCTCACATCAAAATATCGATTCAAAAGCATTTTTTAACCATTAATTTTATTTATTTATCAAGAAATTCGATGCATAAAATAAGCTTCTAAGTGGAAAAATAGACTATATTAGTGAATAATTGTGTTGGATAGATTCTCCTGCTCATCGAAACACACATTGAATGCTGAAAGACAGAACCAATCAATCAATCACAGACAGCGTTCGCTGCAGACGCATGGCTCACAGTGCTTGTTCAAATAGGGCTGCGTTTCCCAAAAGCATCAGAAGCATAACGTTAAGTTGATCTTAAGAAACCATTGCCACATTATTACATTACATTACATTACATAACATTGTTACTAAATATAAAATTAATTCTGAAAAATTCATCGCTGTTTCCACACAGATATGAAGCAGAAATAATAATAAATGTTTCTTGAGTAAAAAATGATATTAGAATGAATTCTGAAGATCATGTGACACTGTTTTTAGGAATAAATTATGGGTAGGGTTAGGTTTAGGGGTAGGGATTGGGTTAAGTCTATATTTTTGGACAGATATGTTGATCCAGGATCAACAAAAGATGTTGATCCAGGAACATGTCTTACTTAGCTAAATCATGGCGACCCACAAAAAGACAGACACAATAGTCAATAAATCATATTTATTAACATATTTAATATAAAACTATATATTATAAATACATAAATATTATATAAAATCATAAATGGTCTATAAAATCTAGATAGATAGATAGATAGATAGATAGATAGATAGATAGATAGACAATAAAAATAATTAAGACATTTTTTGTTTGTTTTGTTTTGGAGGCCTCTCTTTGGTTGAAACTTTAGGAGTCACTGCGTGTTCAGCTCCCATACCCCAAAAGCCTCTCTCAAAAAGAGCCCCCAATTTATATTAACACATTTTGCGATCCGCATAAGTCCATGAGCATGTTGTCCAAGGTTCTGGTTCTTCAAACTGGGGAGGTAACTTGGAATAGAGTGCTTATTTTTCCCTCACTGCTCATTATTTTCTTAGCACACAATACAAGGTTTTCTTGTTTTCTCTTTACAACTTTTTCCGGCACTACTTCTTCATTGCTCTGATGTTTCCATGACCCTCCTGTTACCATGGGATGATGGTCACAAAACTCGCTCCATGATTTATAATAATGCATCAGAAGAATGTTGTGGAAAAACATGTCAGGATACCTAATAACTTCTGAGAACAAAACAGCACATACTGCAGTGGCGTCTTGAGGTGTCAGTACATAAGATTCAGCTTTGTCATGGTTCCCCATGATATAGTTCCAAATTGTCTCAGAAAAGTTTTTAGCATTTTTTTTTCGATAGTTTCAATGTTGCATAAGAAAGATTTTTGTAATGAAGATGAAGATTTTTCTCATCTTTTTTGACTGGACAACAGTACAGATCACTTCCTTGCAACCGTACTGAGAATCTACCAACTAAAAGGGTGACATCCTGCTTTTCCTGATTCCTCCAAAATTTTTGAACAATGTCAATTACATTGGCATATTGGGTCAAAGGAAAGTGAGTGTTGACTGGAAATAAAGTTGTTGAGAAACTCTTTGATTTAGACCTTTTTCTTTTTCTTTTTCTTTTGTCATTCTCCACAATAAAAGTTTCATCTTCAGGTGGGCAGTTAGGTCGCCTGATTGAAAAAAAAAAAAAGTTTAGTAGAAGCAGACAACAATGAATATCATATCAGTTACAGCATGTATCCGCTACATTTACAGTATAATGAACATACAAACGTGGAATGAAACAACTACGTTTATGTACTTGGCAAATGCATTACAGTAAAACTAAATTGAGGTACAATAATGTATGAATTTATTGTGCTTGAAATAAAAATTACATAAGTCATTCCTTAGGAGACAAATGTAAATGCAAAATGATATTTTAATGTAAGCTTAATAATAGTATGTAACTGATTACTGTATTAACATACTGAGGGAGGTAAAGAACCTACTTTGGTGACTTGAGAGATGACAAATTTGGCTCCTCTTTACCGGAGAGTAAGGCGAACTTGTGATCATCTGTTTTACAGGAAAAGAACAAGCAATTAAAATTCAATTAAAATTTATATTGCATGCATGTTCATATCAATGTCCAGTTAATAATAACAGAGCAACTGTCTTTATGATTTAGCAAACATCTCTCCAAAGGTAGTAGTCTAACACTACACATGCGTTGACAATGTACTGACTGCCCATGCAATATGAAACATTTAGCTACATCTGAATAACATCAGACCTCTTTTGTTCTGTTGGGTTGCATCATCCTTCACAGAAGAAGGCTCAGTGTTCTGGTTGGTTTCAGGAAAACACACTTCGTCTGAATCACACTGAAGTAGAGACGAGAACAATGTAATTGTCATGACATAGGTCATGTGTAGATATATATTTTGTGGAGAAAAAAAAATTACTTTTAGGTTTTTGGCAGAAGAGTTTTCATCAGGGACTGCATTTTCATAAGAGGTCTTTGCACCTTTGCTGATGCTGACAAAGTTTTGGTTTTTAATTATGATCTCCATATTCATTCGAAAAAACAATCACCCGCGATCACATTCGCACACTATACTTACCTAGAAACAGTCTTCTTTGTTTGGTGTTTTTTGTTTGATACACGGAAAGCTGATGGCGGTGTGGAAGGTTGGGCAGGTGTGCTACTCAATGTGCCTTCTCCATTGTATGTTCTTGAGAACAGGAAGGAGAGAACATGTTCAGAGCCCATGCTGCCACAATGTCCACTTTTTATGTTTGTCAAATGAATGATGTAGAAATAGGAATCCATGAAAACAGAAGCAGAACATATCTCCAAATAAACTGAATTATGAGGTACATAATTAATGCACTTCAAAAAGGCTGCAGTTCATTTTCTTCAAAACAGGAGAAGTATCCCAAATATTTTTGGATGGAAGCTTTTGGATACATGTAACCATCTGAGCACCGTTGCCAAGCTGGTTAAAAACATCCCTTTGAGACAAATCCTGAAGAAAATGCCATGTGCTGTGACCATTTTTAGGCATTTGCATCAAAATGAGGGTTTCTTCGGGTTAGTTCTAACACATCCACTTTGAGTGATTTGGAAGAGTTAAAGTTGTGGTGCTTAGATCTTACCTAATTCGCCTTTAAATACTTTTTTTTTATTACAAATTCAGTTTGAAACTATATAGCAGCGTGGTCCGCAATTATTCTCCCTTCGAAGTGCCCTCTGAAAGCATTAATCATGCCGATTGGAACACAGCCTTCGTTTCGTTTGTGCGAAGAAAAGGTGAGTTTGTCAAGTGAGTATCTTTGTTAAAACATTCATAAAGACAAATTTCTAATATAACAATATTGGTAAAACAGTACGTTAGAGGTTTTCACTTATATTAAGTGTTAACACTCAAATCACGGTATTTTTTATAGTAAATTAATGTACCTAAATAAATTAACAAAACTGTATAAATAAGTGAGGGATTTTGTTGTTTTTACAGAATTAGAATATAGAATATTCTGTACAAATGTGTGTGTGTGTGTGTATGTATGTATGTGTATATATACACACACACACACACACACACACACAGTATATACACTGTTTTCAAAAGTATTTTTAA